GAACCCAGCCGCCCATCTCCTTGACAACCGCTAAGAGGGATTTCCCCCCACCCCTCCCGGGCTCAGACGAAAAGAAAACTTTTTTTTTTTTTCCCCTTCCCTTCTTCGTCCCCTTTGCCTTCCTCTTAGCCTCGTCTAACTCCTGGCGCTGCCTCTTTTCCACTTGCCTCGGGTCATTGCCATTAATACCAGCCACCAGCTTTCCGGTAACGTTTCCATAACGTTTTAAGGGATTTTTAAGGCTTTGCCACAGAAAGCGAGAAGGGCTCAGGCGCTTTCCCCCGACCGTCCTGGCCAGCCTTGCCTTCCCCTGGCCCTCTTGAGCTGGGCACATGTCGCCGCTTTTCCTCACGTGAGCCATGGGGCCTGGCCTGGCCCCAGCCTGCCTGCCCTGGTGCCCATATCACCCGCGGGGTCCGGCCACAGACGAGAAGCTGCCCCCGAATACTGAGAGAAACACTAACCGACACGGCCAATACATTGGTTTGGATCATGAGCTCTGCTGGATCACCAGCACCCAGAATGAGCCATCCTTCCAGTTAAACCCCGGCACGAGAAATTCGCCTCCAGAAGGGTGAATGTGAACCTAAAATCTTCCAGAATGATGCTCTTTAAAGGACTGAAATGGTCTGCAGACATCCCCTGGCTGACTTTGCACCCTCAATCATTTTATACCTTTGTTTCTTTCATTGAGCCCTCCTTAGTGCACTATTTTGCTACGCTGGGGTTCTCTATATTTCACTCCTTGTAATCCCCAAGCTAGAGTCTCCGTTACTTGTAACCTCCACTTGTCATCTGGAAAATAAATAAACCTTGTGATATCTTCAGATGCCTCATTTTTCAAGTTCCTTCAAAGTATGTGCATGTGTCAGTACCACACACTTGCCTAGAGTGTAGCATCATTAAGCATCTTAAAGCCATAAGATATCACAGGGAAATGAAATGAACGTTCTCAGCCCAAGTTCTTCATTAGTCAAATTATGCACCACTTTTTCCTCCATAAAACTCTGAAATTGTGAAATAATTAGTGCCTGGCATAAAAGCTGTTGGCTTTCTGCATGTTTACACCTCTGCTTTGGGCATTCCCGTCCTTAATCCTGTAGGGGTGCGGCAGTGGTATTATTATTTTAATTCCACTCCCTTATTTTTGTGTTAATACATTGATTGAGGTGCAGTTGTGAATTCCATGCTCAGGTCTTTCCATGGATACACAGTGTTTCTTCCACGTAGGTCCCCAGAGGGATTACCTGGTACCTTAGAGCTCCACCTAGTGAGTTTTATGTCATGCTGTAGCAGAATTATGTATTGGCCAATACGGTAAGCTTTAACTCTTTAACACCAGATTCGGAGCCTCCTGAAAAGACCTTTTATTTTCAAAGATATTATGAGTTTCGCCTAGGTGGAAAATAAGGCTATTTAAAATGCTAAGCCTCCTTTATTAATGCTCTTGCCTTTTTACATTCTGTAATTGGCCTTATCATTCCATTTCATGAAATCACACTACTTACTTGGGTAAATTGTGCAAAGAATTTACTTTCTATGGAGGACTTCACTAGAAATACATCTCAACCTGAACTACTTCAACTTTTTTTTTTTTTTAAAGTCATAGGGCAATAAAAATGTTTGCTAAAGCAACAAAATAATGCAGTTGCTGCGGTGACTTGCTCTCTAGCATGTATCAAAAATATCATGTTAAGTACACAGGTTAAGTTACTCTTACCAAAATCACTGCACTTGTTTCTTCCCCGATTCTATACATTTACAATCTGTACAGTACTAACACTGCCTCCACGACACTTAGGAAAGGGAGTCACATTGCTCCAAAAATCAAACCAGTCCTACATCCCTGTATATTCTGAGAGTGCCTTGCAATCGAGAGCTAAGGATCCTTTATACCAAGTGTCCATCTTCTAGCAAACTTGTTTTTAAGCTAGAATCCTGACTGACAGAATCCATGAGGAAATACAATGGTACAGTGTTTATCTGAAGAGGGTCTGAACCTTAAATGGGGATCATCACATAAAATAAGGACTATGATCTACAGCGTAAGGCTGAGCATTTCCAGAAGGGGCTTTCTAGCAGTTTTCCTTGTTAAAGGCCACATCGCAGAAAGAGGATCCTTGTGGACTGCCACCTTTTCCACTTGCAATTATGCTTCCGTGCTTTTTTTATTATCACGTAACATCCCTGTGTTGGTTGTATAGATGCTTCTATGGCAATTTTAACATTAGAACTAGTGACTGTAGCTTCTTCTGTCAAGGCAGCTAAGAGGAGCCAGTCTCATATGACCATAGATCTATTTTACATTACCTGCGTCAGGAAGAACTACCTGAATCAAAGGGAGACCCTTAGCTTAGGAACCACTACCATTGCTTAAAGCTCTTTACCACTGCCCCCGAGCTCTGCCTGAAAAACCTTGGGCAGTCAGCAGCAACAGTTTGCATGTTAATAGATTACAAAGGATCCTAATGTTCTTCCACCCCAATTTCTTTAAAGCTTTGCAGTACTATTCCAAACAAAAAAGAGAAGCAGTTTTATTAGGGCCCATCTCTTTACAGGGTACAAACTCCATGAACACTTGCTGTTGTACTGGGAAGGTCAAGGGCACAAATAGAAGCGTGGCTGTTAAATGGTGGCCTCACCTCCAAAACACCTTGAACCAAAGACATTTACTGTTCAAAAAAAGCCCGCAAACCAAACCAAAACACACCATTGAGAGGGTAGGACAGCATTTGCAGAATTGTTTGGCTTCCCAGTTTGCTATTTATGAACACCTGCATGTCATGTCCAACACCTTCTCAGGAGGCAACACGGGGTGGAAGACAGGGCTAGGAATCAGGAGAACAGTCACTGACAAGCAGTGTGAACTCAGGCAAATTGCTTTACCTCTCTGTGGTTCTGTTTCTCTTTCCTCCTCTTGTCCATTTTGCCTATTTACAGGGCAAGCACTTTGCAGCAGGGCCTGTCTTTCACTATACACATATATATATACATAGCACCTTTCAAAATAGGGTCCAGGCCTCAACTGAACTCCCCCAGATACTGTTTTAGAAAAAATAACGCACCAAGCATTTTTTGTCAGTCTTTAAATTTAGTGCTTTTATGAGGCCAGTGAGATACAGAAGCCCTGATGAGGGAATTCTTTTATTTAAGGCAAAATTCTTAAACTGCACTGTCAGGGACTCCAAGTGAAATCTGGCTTCCTTGGAGAGGAGACAAAGAGGCCAGGTGCCAGAATTTGTGCAGGGAACATGTATACTTCAAACCCTAGACCATGTCTCTCTATGCTTTTTACATAAATCCTTCCAGTTAGGAAGGAACAAACAATGTGAAACCAAGTCTTCAGAACGATATAGAATATTTCGCGTTTCTACATGTATTTGGACTTGGTGGAAACTTCTGAAACTAGAGGTAATGGATACACATAGCACCACACGCACAATGCCACGCTATTCATTTCCAGGCAAACAGTGTCTAAATTTCCCAGAAGTTATATAGAAGCATGCATCTGAAATATTTCAAGGATTTGTCCCTGTACAAATTTTTGCCCCTGGGAAATATGGCTACTCAGGCCAAAAATTTATGTAAACCAGTGCCAAACCTTGAACAGACATCATCAACGCATACTGGAGGACAGCTATTCCCTTATTTCTAGGGCAGTATTAGCTTCCTCCAATGCATGCCACCTGCTTCAGCTAACTGGCCCTCCCCCTTCATTGCCAGGGTACCAAGAGAGACTAAAACTCACACAGAAACATTTTCCTTAAATCTGTAAATCTTTTAATGTGCATGTTATTGAACATTGCATATCTACAAATTAACAAGGTGCTTTCCCTCCTGCTTGTCATATGAACAGTTTTCCATTTGTAAAAACACTTCAGCAACTAGAGAGAAAAAAATGAGTTATCAGAGCAATGGAGAACTTTTTTGTTTAGATTGTAACCACTGAGATGGAAAGATGATAATATACTGCTGTCACCACAAGGAGTAGAGTACATCCTCTGTTACTAGTGCTTCAGCCTGGTGAAAGGCACGTTTGACCAAGATGAAGGTTAGAACTCAACCTTTATGTGAAAGAAAACTGGATGCATAAAGAGATGGGTAAGACTTTGTGACCTGTATCATGCAGGAGACAGATCACAGCAGTCTCCTTTAAAATGAGGAAGAGACACCCATAAAATCTGTGAGGGGAACGGCACAGAACAACATTGTACGTACTGGCTGTTGTGACTTTCCTCCATAGCGGGCGGAAGAGGACAACAGGGGAACTTGGGTGAAACAGGCAGTTGAAAAAGATGCTTTTCTTAAGAAAGTCCCGTTTGCTAACTACATTGCCAAAATGCCACTAGAGATGATGATGCATCTTGGTTTTTGCAAAGAGAGGGGCAGCAGCATCCTGAAAGGGTTTGGTTTTGGAAAGCAAAGGCATAAGGGAGCCAGAACAAAAACATTAAGGTAATAAAAATTGGAGACAGATGGGAAACAGTAACAGTGTCCAGACTTCTGTGCCAGTAGAAAGTACAGAGAAAGGGAATGGATGGCGTGAACACCCTCTTGACTCAAGAAAAACATATTTGTTTATGAAACATTTCAGCTGAAGGAAGCTGAGCCACAGCATATTTGTCTGGACTTAATAGTTGTCTCCCCAGTACAAGAGAGACATGGAGCTCCTGGAGCGAGTCCAGCGAAGGGCTACTAAAATGATTAGGGGACTGGGGAGTCTCTCATATGAGGAAAGGCTGAGGGAACTGGGACTGTTCAGCCTGCAGAAGAGAAGACTGAGAGGCGATCTTAGCAATGTATATACATATCTGAAGGGAGGGTGTCAAGAGGAGATGGGGCCAGACGCTTCTCACTGGTACCCCACAATAGGACGAGAGGCAATGGGCACAAACTGAAACACGGGAAGTTCCGTCTGAACGTGAGGAAAAGCTTCTTGACTGTGAGGGTGACTGAGCACTGGAACAGGTTGCCAGAAAGGTTGTGGAGTCTCCTTCCTTGGAGATATTCAGAAGCTGCCTGGACGCGATCCTGGGCAATGTGCTCTAGATGACCCTGCTTGAGCAGGGGGGTTGGACTAGATGATCTCCAGAGGTCCCTTCCAACCTCAAGCATTCTGTGATTCTGTCATAGAGAGAAGTAGGAGGTGCTAAAAAAGACAGAATCAAATCCTATCCTTATCGACAAAGGGGATAAAGAGAGCAGGATTCCATTACTCTTGTCCAACCATTGACTTTAGATCAGACTAGGATCAGGTTTTTAACTCAATGACTTCTCCACAGATGCCTTGAAAAAGGTGATTCCATGCTAGTGCAAGTTCTGATGCCTCATCTG